TGTTGAACATAACTAGTTGAGCAGGTTGTAGCACAAAAACTAAAATATCAGCCGATAGTCGGATCCAAAAACAGTTTTAAAATGGTTCTCCAAGTGTGAAAAACCAAAGAAATCACAGTTTACCTTTAATAGCAACTCAAATCCAGTAAAAATATCACAACTAGAAGCTCAGATCTGGTAAAGTTTCACCATCATATGAGTCGTTTAAAGACAGTTTCGATGGGAAGTTTAAGTTTTTGCAGTTTCTGGCTCATAAATGCTTTAATTTTTGGCAATATTTAAAAGTACAACACGCCTTTCAAACCTGCCAGATACTCGGATCAGTCCGGAAAGTGGTGGCCACAAAATTCGAGGCTTCAAAACGAGAGTCCGCAAACCATCGGACAACCTCGTGGAGGCTTCTTCTGTCTTTTATCTGCTGTTTGGGATGAAAAGATCAACACAGCTGCTTCCAAACAGGTCAACCCTCAAAGAACCGGTTTGAGAAATGTGCTTCTTTATGACTTCCTGTTGAGAGAGAAGTCCAAACCCTCCTGAATACATTAGCATGAATCGATAGCTGGCTTAGCTTAGCGTAACATCCCACCTCATTAGCAACCGGCGTGGAAGAAAACAACAAGTTGCGCCTTCATGAGGGGTCCTCGGCTCTTGGCTCTGTTTCGGGTCTCCGTCGGTTGCGTGGCAACGTCCCAGCAAAGCGTCGAGGTTCTAGCGTCCAGTCGAGTCCAGCTCGTGACCCCGTAAACCCGAAGCGAACTGCCCCCAGCTGTTGACGCTGAGCCAACAGAGGCTGACCCCGGTGGGATGGATTCAACATTTAGCGCTGCAGCGAGAAAAAGAGCAGAATGAGCAACGTGTCGGGTGAATTAATCAACGGTCCAGTCGGCTAAGGGTTGTTTGGTGCAGCGGATGTTATTGTAGCTTCTCATCCTCAGTTAGTCAGATGGATCTGCATGGTAGGAACCTCAACCCTGTTCAGGACTTTTGGGGTCTTTTGGACCCAGGCCATTTGGTTTAGGTGACAGGTATTGTTTTTTTTTTCATTTTTAGAACCAAAAATGCGTCAACTTATCAGAACATGTATTTAACATAGTTTATAATGAATACCAACAAATGTTCTGCACGTTTTCTTTCTTGGGGTCCAACTGACCCCAAAAGACCTTCTACGCATGGAAACATGAAGGTCCTAGATAGGGTTAAAGTCATTTTGGACAAATCTTGAGACATTTTGGGAACCTTTCAAGTAATGTCAGACAAGATTCAAGTCCACTTTGGTGAACTGTCCATCAAAGACTGTATTTCTGTTGGAGACGTGGNTTTTGTCTAAAACTACCAACAGAACAATACAAAATGACACAGCAATGGTCCAAATCATCATATGTTGGCTTTTTGTCAAGTCAAAATAGCCAAAACCTGGATTCTTGTCTTCTCAAACCTTCCACACATCATTTTCTTCTGATGTTTGAGTCTCAACAGTTGGAAATAGTAGAAAACAGTGAGGACAGGTAAGTGTGGATGTCATGGGAACGTATTCTAGATATTTTATTCATATATTACATCTTCCTGTCAGAGCTTTTATGTTACCTGCAGCAGAGACACATGGCATCCAGCTCCTCCAAATAAACACAACCGCTCTGAACTCACATTTATTGTACGATGAGAAAAAGAAGAACAGACCTGATCTCATGAGACCTGGGCTAAACGCCACCTCTGCACATAGAAAGCTCATTTTCCAGGCGATTATGGAGCCAATCAAGCCGCCCGGCTTCAAGTTTGGAGGCTTCAGCGTTTGACTCATCCTGCTATAACTTAGATGTCAAGTGAGGACTTCTTCCGAATAATTTGGGGATTCATAAATATTCAAGTAATCCCCTTGACCTATCTTTGCAAAACATTGGTCCGGGGCAGAGATTTGAATATTTATGAGTCGGCGTTAAGGCTAATGTGTCATTTAAATACCAGTTTATTCCAGGGATGTAATTTTGTGACTTTCTGTCTGCTTCCAAATTGTAGTCAATCATCCGGTAATTTATGCAGGTTTGTGTCGAACCTTTGCAGCTTCTGTTTGTCAACTCCAGGAGTGTGTTTTGTTGCGTTCGCCGAGGCCGTGTACGCTGTTTGCTCTCACATCGCGGCCGTCTGTCTGACATCGTGTCTTTTTTGCAGAGCTCGCGCTCGGCGGCGCCACGGAGGCTCCGGCCATCGAGTGCTGCGCCTGTGGGACCGCCAAGTACCGGCTCACCTTCTACGGCAACTGGTCGGAGAAAGTGCATCCCAAAGACTACCCGAGTGAGTCCCAACATGCAGCCACGTCAGCGTGCACGGTCAGAGACGTGCACGAGAACCATGAATAGAAAAGTGAAGCCAACAGAAGAAGCTCATTAAGTTGAGCTGTTCCGTCTAAATCACCATCAGCCTCCTGCTCAGCCATCTCTGATTCACCTCAAACTGTCCCATCATGAACTATCAAGACTTAAGATGGTAGTTGTGAATTTTTAGAC